GGTGGGGAATGGCACACACCTAGCTTCTCGCTCACGCTGCCACATTGAATCTTTTCGTCTTCCAGAAGCACGCAGAAGGTCCCAGGTTCAATCCTTAGCATCTCCAGTTAAAAGGGCCAGGTACTAGGTCAGTGGTGGCGAACCTATGGCACGGGTGCCAGAGGTGGCACTCAGAGCCCTCTCTGTGGGCACCTGTGGCATCACCCCAGCCAGGCCCAGACCATCATTAAAGTGTTGAATTCTCTGCCAAATTATTTTAAGTAAATGAAAGCATTTGGGATTGCTTTCTTTACTTTGTTTGAATCATCAAGTTAATGTATGAGTTGTTTTTTCTAAAATAAAACCTCAGTATTCAGGTTAAATTGCCGTGTTGGCACTTTGCGATCAATAAGTGGGTCTTGGGTCGCAGTTTGGGCACTCGGTCTCTAAAAGGTTCGCCATCACTGTACTCGGTGATGGGAAGACTAGAGATGTGAAGGCCCGGGAAAAAACTGGAAAAATTTGGGGAAAAAACGGTTTTTTCCCATTTTTTTCCTGAAGCCTTTTTGGTTTTTCCCGAAAAATTGGAAAAATTGAAAAAAGAAAAGAAAAAAAAATGATTATGGAATGTTTTATTTTAACATGATGAATAAAATATTTTAGGACAAGGTGTTCAAATATTTTTCAAATCATTTCTAAAATATATATATATGGTATCAGATTGATCTAATTTCTGTGCACTGAGGACAAGCAAGTCCTAGGTTACAAACTGAACTCTCCAATGCAAGAACAAGATGCATTTCTTCCTTTAGGAGGTGCGATTGTCAGAAGAAAATAAAAAAGTTTCAGTTTTGTTTTTGCATGTGGGTGGAATAATTGTTTGGATACACTATATTTTTAATATGCTAGTTGTGATAATTTCATGCCAAGTAAAAATGTCCATAGTCATATTTTATGTTCCTAAAGTAACAGAATGACTTTCAATCTAGAAAAGACAAAATAAATGCTAATGTAGCATTTTTTCAATTTTTCCAAAAATTTCCGTTTTTTTTCCGGAAAAAAACAGGGTTTTTTCGAGCTTCAAAATTTCCGGAAATTTTACATCTCTAGGAAAGACCTCTGCCCTGCAGAGCTGCTGTCGGTATAGACAGTACTGATCAATGGCCTCATTCAGTCTAAGACAGCTACAGGTGAGAGTTCCATTCAGGGGAGGGTCCACGGCTCAGTGGTAGAGCATCTGCTTGGCACGCAGAAGGCCTCAGGTTCAGTCCCCCGGCATCTCCAGTTGAAAGGATCAGGAAACGGGTGATGTGCAAGACCACTCTTTGGAGAGCTGCTGCCAGTCTGAGTTGACGATAATGACCTCGACGGACTGATGGTCTGGTTCAGTATAGCGCAGCTTCATGTGTGTGGTGTGACTTCCATTGGTGCACTGTTAGGGGTTTCAGAGCAACTTTGCTCAAGAGTCTTTTTGTCTCCCCCCTCCCCCGTCAGCGAATGCAACAGCACGGCCGTCTCCATATTCAACAGAGAAGGGTGCTTGGCGCTGGTGCTCCAGTTTTTAAAGAGATTTCACACCAACGTGGACCTGGCTATCGCAGTGGGTAAGTGGCAGGAAGAGGACGGCCCTGCAGAAGCCACGGGATTAAAACCGCGTAGAAATTTAAAGTCGCAGCTGTGCAATCTGGCGAGGGAGTTGGGTCAGCGGGTCGAAGAAAGGGCCCGATGAGCCTAAGCGGGACGTTGACCCACGTTTCTTTGCCTCCACAGCATCTTGCTTGCAGGCCGTAACGGAAGATAACCCGGATCTGCTTTCGTCCTTCGATGCGTCCACACACCAAGTGCTGGAAACGGTCATGGTGTCGTCGGACAAAACCATGGAGCACGTTCTTCTACGGACGCTGGTGGCAGGTAGCTGTTTTTAGCTGGGCGACAGCGAGGGTCGATTGAATCGTTATTGGTCTGGGTTCCAGAAGAAAGGGGAAAGAGAACTGTGCCAATTTGGCGCTTAGTAATATATTCATAAATTATAATATACAATAACAGAAAATAAGTAATATATATAGTGAATGTAGACGGTGGTCTCCGGAAGGGTGTGCCGTTTCGACAATGATCTTCTTCTGAACAAGGGTGTGTACAAAAACTGTCTTTCAACAATTCATTTCTTGGTGACGTATTGGAAATATACTGTTGATTCACTTCATCATGAGCTTACAGCTATGTTCTTCAATGGGCTATAATTGCTGAATGCCCAATACGTCACCAAGAAATGAATTGTTGAAAGACAGTTTTTGTACACACCCTTGTTCAGAGGAAGATCATTGTTGAAACGGCACACCATTCCGGAGACCACCGTCTACATTCACTATATATATTACTTATTTTCTGTTATTGTATATTATGACTTATGAATATATTACTAAGCGCTAAATTGTCACAGTTCTTTCCCCTTTTTTCATTGGTCTTATTACTGTGCCCATTCTTGTAACTATTCTCTGGGTTCCAGAAGACCATTGTTGCATCCCAGTGATGCAGTTATGTGTATAATGCGGCTCCTTGAAGTATGAGCTAAATGGTCTGAATGCTGTATTCCTATCTGTTAAGGGAGGCTTTGTTGGCTTTTAATTTTTTTTTACTTTTAAAGTTTTTTTAAAAAAACGATTCTTGCTGTTCCATTCAAAAAGGGGGAAAAATTATGAGAGCTACAAACTGGGAGGAGGGGTGTTTGTTCTCACAATAGGAGTGTGAACCCCTCCATCTTCTGATGAACTGGTCAGCCAGTGTGTGAGAGAGGACGCTGGACTAGATGCCCTTCTTCGCCACGCGATCGTCCTCGAACCGTTTTTTTTTTTAAAAACGTTCTGAGTGTTGTCGTGCTAGACTGATATGGCATTTCAGTGCTACAGCGGCACCATTGAGATGCCTTGGCACCAGTGTTCCCTCTAAGCTGTGGAGTCTTGTGCCAAGGCATCTCAATGGTGCTGCTTGGGGGGGGGCAACAGTGGGAGGGCTTCTAGTGTCCTGGCCCCACTGATGGACCTCCTGAGGCACCAGTTTGGTGTAGTGGTTAAGTGCACGGACTCTAATCTGGGAGAACTGGGTTTGATTCCCCACTCCTCCACTTGCAGCTGCTGGATGACCTTGGGCAAGCCATAACTCTGGCACAGCTGTTCTTGAAAAAAGAGCAGTTTCTGTCAAGAGTTCTCTCAGCCCCACCTACCTCATAGGCAATGTTCCCTCTAAGCTGTGGAGTCTTGTGAGCAAAAATTCTACTTTGTGAGCCACTGGCATTAAAGTTGTGAGCGAGTGATTTGGTTGCTGCATAAATTAGTTTGCTCTGAAGCTATCCTCCCTGAGCTAAGACAAAAATGTGTGAGATAGAGGCTAAAAAACTGTGAGCTAGCTGACACTAACTCATCTTAGAGGGAACACTGCTCACAGGGTGTCTGTTGTGGGGAGGGGAAGGGAAAGGAGTTTGTAAGCCGCTCTGAGACGCCTTTAGGTAGTGAAGGGCGGGGTATAAATCCAATCTCTTCTCTTCTCTTCTTGTGAGCAAATATTCTACTTTGTGACCTACTGGCATTAAAGTTGTGAGTGAGCAATTTGGCTGCTGCATAAATCGGTTTGCTCTGGAGCCCTCCTTCCTGAGCCATCCTTCTACTTTGTGACAAATGCTCCCTCTAAGCTGTGGAGTCTGGTGAGCAAAAATTCTACTTTGTGAGCTACTGGCATTAGAGTTGTGAGCGAGCAATTTGGCTGCTGCATAAATCGGTTTGCTCTGGAGCCCTCCTTCCTGAGCCATCCTTCTACTTTGTGGCCAATGCTCCCTCTAAGCTGTGGAGTCTGGTGAGCAAAAATTCTACTTTGTGAGCTGTCGGCATTAGAGTTGTGAGTGAGCAATTTGGCTGCTGCATAAATCGGTTTGCTCTGGAGCCATCCTTCCTGAGTGAAGACTAAAATGTGTGAGCCAGAGGCTAAAAAACTCTGAGCTAGCTCACACTAACTCAGCTTAGAGGGAACACTGTGACCTACTGGCATTAAAGCTGTGAGCGAGCAATTTGGCTGCTGCATAAATTAGTTTGCTCTGAAGCCCTCCTTCCTGAGCTAAGGCAGAAATGTGTGAGCCGCGCCTAAAAAAACTGTGAGCTAGCTCACATTAACTCAGCTTAGGGGGAACACTGCTTGGCACCAAGAATGGCTCAGCCTCGCTTTGCTAACCCGACACAAGCTGCTTTGTATGAAAAGGTAAATTAAAATCTGCTAGCAGCCAGTTGCTAAAACGGCTGTGTCCGAAATGACACAAAACAATCCATTAGCAACTGGCTACCAAAACGGATTACAAAGGCTGTCTGAAAGGGGCCCTTTTGGTTTGTTTGTTTTTTGTCCCTGACTTTCTTGGTCGGTATGGGTGAGGTTATAGTTTTGGCTCCTTGACTTCCTGTCACTGGCCCCTGACATCACATAACTTCCTGTCACATGCTTGCAACCCAGTAGGCCCTCGGTCTTCTGGCTCGTCGTCTGCCTGTCACGGGGCTCTGACATCGCGTGGCTTCCTGTCGCATGCTTGCAGTTCAATAAGTCCTGCGTTTAGAAGGGTTGAAGTCCATTTTTCTAAGAGCTGTCTGGTGCTGTCCATAAAAAATGTACTACGTGGTCCTACTGCATGGGTAGATCTAGTGTAAGTTATACTTGTGCACCTAATGAAAAGAACGTGCCATGTCTGAATCCAGCAGATTGCTATAGCTTCAGTTTTGTTACACTGTTCTTCCTTTGCACAATTTGAGCACCACGGTAACTCAGGGTTGCTGGCCTGTATTTACCTCAACCTCTTATTGTGGAAATAAATACAATGGCCTCTAGAAAGAGGCTTTGGGCGGGTGCCCCGGCCTTGGACACTCAGTGCCAATTTTCTATGGCGATCTCAGCAGGGTATAATGACACTGAGTCGACCATTTTCTCCAGAGGAACTGATCTCTGCTACCTAAAGAACAGTTGTAATTTTGAGTGATCTCCAGTTTTCACCTGGAGATTGGCAACGATGGTTCCCCAGAAGGGAATGGTTGGTTTGGAGGGTGGAGTCTATGGCTTTGTACCTGTCCGAGGTCCCACGCCTCCTGAAACCTCGCCCTCTTCAGGCTCCATCCCTCACATCTCCAGGAATTTCCCACCTGGAGTTGGCAACGCTATCTCCTTCCCAGCCAATCATCAACCTACCTTTATTTCCCCCTCACTCTTCAGCTTTCCACCCCCCACACACCTGCAGCCTCTCCCGTGCTCTGAAGCCCTGACTGCTACGTCACATTGGCTGTCATACGGGGGCCACCTCAGCAGCATATAAGGATACAGAGCCCACCATTTTCTCCAGGGGAACTGATCTCTGCCGTCTGGAAAGAAGCTACAATTTATTATATGGCCATTTTCCAAGATATAACTTTCTCTTATTTTTTTGGTGACTAAAGTTTAAAATTTAAAAAGGTGAAGGAAACCTGATGTTTTACTTTTATTGAGTACCTAATTGGGATGTTGTTTTAAGGGAATATTTTGATATGTTTAAGATTAAAGGAATTAATATCAGGTGCTGGAACCTAGATGCCATGTTTATAAAAAAAAAAAGTAAAAACACTGAATTATAATTTTTAAGTAATTAAAGGTTTATAGGAATTTTTATTTTATTGAAAAAAAAAATCTGGAAAGCAGTTGTAATTCTGAGTGATCTCCAGCCCTCACCTGGAGATTGGACACATTTTACCTCAGAACAGCAAACTGTTTAGAATGTTAGAAGCAAAAGCCAATCAAGTTGCATATGCAAACGACCTCTGTGTTCCGAGGCAAAGGCCAATGAGGCTTCATATGCAAATAACCTCTGTGTTCTGACTGGCTATGGGGGGGAGAGGAACAGCAAACTGTTTAGAATGTTGGAGGCGAGACTCGAGCAATGCAACCAGTGGATAGGGACAGTTTCTGAGTGACACACCAGGGCGCCAACCAATTCCGGAGCATGTGGAATGTTCTAGAGAAGTGCCACCACCATTCGGCTTTTATATATAAGGGAGATTAGATTTTTACCCCGCCCTCCCAGCAAGGTCGGCTCAGGGCGGCTTGCAGCAATATAATACAGTACAATAAATAATAAAAACCCAATCAAGCCTAAATTTAAAACCATAACTATACAACTTAATAAAGTGCTAACATTTTATTCCCTTCTTCAGGAGTACTTTGGAATATAAAGAGCACCCTGCCCTCTGGGAGCCAAGCAAGCACCGTGAATGCTATCCTGAAGACCCTCTCGGAATGCTTAGCAGTGGACGCCGGTGAGGTGGTCATTCGGATGAAGGAAGAGGAAACGGAACGGTTGAAAACTGTGGAGGATCTGGGAACGGAGGAGAACGGGAGCAGCTTGGCAGTAAATGAGGATGAAGAGATGGAAGAAACGCCCAAAAAACCCACTAAAGGGAAAACCGACGTTTCAGATCTGCTTCCAGTGAGTGTGGCCTAGTTGACAAGGCTCTAGGTGATACTGGCAATTATGCTAGGGGTAAGAGAAGCAGAGGATTGTGGTTTCCACGGTGGTTCAGAAGAGGATCCGGTTATCTTTTGGCTTCACAATCTCATGGAGGAACTCAGAAGCCCTTCAGGTCTAATGTAGCGGGCAGGGACGGAGAGTCCCCGACTTTTCCCTGTCCGCGCCTGATCGCCCCAACTCTATCCTCTTGCCCAACTCTTCTCCCACATCTAGGGTTGCCAACTCTGGGTGGGGAAATACCTGAAGATTTGGGGGGTGGAGTCTCAGGAGGGCAGAGTTTGGGGAGGTGAGGAACCTCAGTAGGGTATAATGCCTTAGAGTCAGCGGTCTTTTGGGGCCGGAGCACTGCTCCGGCAGCTTGCATGGTGGCAAGCCCCGCCCCCGGGTCCTCTGAGCCTGTGCAAAAGCGCTGCGGCTCCGGAAAGCCCCGAGGTCATGCAGGAGCGCTGCAGCCCGGGGAGGCCGGGAGAGCCCCGCCCCTGGGTCCCCGAGGCCGTGTGAGAGCGCTGCGGCTCGGGGAGGCCGGGTCTTTCCCTTCCCTTCCCTTCTCTTCCTTCCTCTCTTTTCCTCCTTTCCTTCTCTCCTTTCCCTCTTTCCTGCCTTCTTCTCTTCTCTTTTGTCCTCCTTTCCCTGTTTCCCTCCTTCTTCCCTTCTCTCTTTCTTTCCCTCCTTCTTTTCTTCTGTTTCTTTCCCTCTTTCCTTCCTTCTCTCTACTCTCCCTCTTTTTCCTTCCTTCTTTCCTCCTATGGCCCAACTGTAGTGAGAAGGGGTTTAAAGTTTAAACCCCTTCTCTCTTCCCCCCCCCCTAGGGGGGGAAGGGAAGGGGAGGGGAGGGGAGGCTTTTGAAGATGCCCCCCCCCGCGCTTCCCCGTCTGCCATCACTTCTGGTGATGTCAGGGGGCGTGGCATATGCTAATAGCCCAGTAACTCATTAGCATACCATATGCTAATGAGCTCCTGCAGCTCTTTTTCTACTAAAAGACCCCTGCTTAGAGTCCATCCTCCAAAGCAACCATTTTCTCCCGGGGAACTGATTTTGGTTGTCTGGAGACCAGTTGTAATTGTGGGAGATCTTCCAGGTGTCCCTGGGAGGCTGGCGACCCAGCCGACACCAGTTTGCTCGTGTTGCTCTGCCTCACGACCCTCCTTCAATGTTTTTGCACAGTATATTCCCCGGGACTGTTCTCGCTTTCGGTGCACGTGTGCAATAGAGGCAGAGTGGAAATGAATACGCTGGCACTGCTGATGCCCATTTGCCTTGCATGGACACATAATGCCTGCGCGCCATCGGAATGTATGTCCCATCCCCAAATCACAAACACTACTATTTGAAGGTTGCTGATAACATGCTTACAGCCAATGCTCCCTCGAAGCTGTGGAGTCTCATCGTGAGCAAAAATTCTACTTTGTCAGCTACTGGCACTAAAGTTGTGAGCGAGCGATTTGGCTGCTGGCCTAAATTAGTTTGCTCTGGAGCCATCCTCCCTGAGCTAAGACAAAAATGTGTGAGCCGGAGGCTAAAAAAAACCTGTGAGCTAGCTCACACTAACTCGGCTTAGAGGGGACACTGCTTACAGCCTGTGCACGTGTAGATGTTGAGGCTATGTGAGATGAACTCGCGTGGTCAGAGGTGAGCCAGTGTGCTCGCGTCCACTCCCCCCCCATATGTATAACTCCATTTGTACAGCTATTAACAATAATAAAGGGCTGTGGCTCAGTAGCAAGCATCTGTATGGCCTGCAGAAGGTCCCAGGTTCAATTCCCAGTGTCTCCATCTAGAAGAAGAAGAAGAGATTGGATTTATACCCTGCCCTTCACTTGGAGTCTCAGAGCGGCTTACAAACTCCTTCCCCTTCCCCTCCCCACAAAAGACACCCTGTGAGGTAAAAGAAGAAGAAGAGATTGGATGTATACCCTGCCCTTCACTACCCAAAGGAGTCTCAGAGCGGCTTACAAACTCCTTTCCCTTCCCCTCCCCACAACAGACACCCTGTGAGGTGGGTGGGGCTGAGAGAACTCTGACACAAACTGCTCTTTTTCAAGGACAGCTGTGCCAGAGCTTGTGACTGACCCAAGGTCACTTCAGCAGGTGAGAGTGGAGGAGTGGGGAATCAAACTGGCTCTCTAAAAGCATCAGGTGGTTGGTGATGTGAAAGACCTCTGCCTGAGACACTGGAGAGCTGATGCCCATCTCAGCAGACAATACTGACCGTATTGGACCAACAGCCTGGTTCAGTGTATAAGGCATCTTCATGTTTTCACTTGTGTTCAGTATGACTAATAGGGAGGTGGGGAGAAACATTGCTGGTGATTTCAGGGAGTGACCATGTTGGTCCTCAGGACACACATGAAGCTGCCTTCTACTGAATCTGACCCTTGGTCTATCAAGGTCAGTATTGTCTACTCAGACTGGCAGCAGCTCTCTTGTGTCTCAAGCTGGGGTCCTTCACATAACCGGCTACCTAGTCCTGGAGAGGCCAGGGATTGAGCCTGGGACCTTCTGCATGCCAAGCAGGTGTTCTACCACTGAGCCACGGCTCGATTCGAGTCTTCTACTACCTTAGAGACCAGTGAGGTTTTTCAGGGTGTAAGCTTTCCAGATTCAAAGCTCCGTGTACCTGATGCAGGGTGGTTTGACTTTCCCAAAATCTTGTTGGTCCTCTGGTGTGCTACTGAACTCAAACCATTCATTGCCGGTAATGTTTCTGAGGTGAAGCCTAAATCCGAATAGAATACCCTCTTGATTTCAGGCAACCTGACTCCCTATTGCTTTGAGGTGTGCCCTCCCCGAAGGGGGTCTCGGGAAGGCGACGGGGGAAGTGTGAGGTTCGCCCTGAGTCTCCTGACCCCCAGTTCTAAATGCCCACCAGAGATTCTCTTAACAACCAGACCTTCCTCTTTGCTTTGCAGAGCAGTAAGCAGGAGCTGAAACAGGTAACTGCTTTACTCCTGGCTCAACAGACGGCTCTGGAAATCATTGTGAATATGTGCTGCAATGAAGGTACGTGATGTAGCCATCTTACTTAAGTGATCTTTCCTTTAAAATAAATAATCATCATCATCTTTCAATTTATTAATCGCTCAGTCCTGCAGAGCTGCTGGCTCTGAGCGATTTACAGTTACTCATTTCACAAGGGACTAACAATGATTCATGGGGGTAAGGGAGGACAACATATATAAATCTTTAAATCGCACACGTTCGCAGCCGACGGGGATTTTTGTTCAGCTGTAGACTAGACATGTTCCAGACAGCATTTTTCACTCGGCTTGGCTTGATGACGTCAGCTTTCTCCAGGTCTTATTCGAGTCGCAACGCTGCACTGCCACCGCCTGGCCAGAATGGCCCATTAGAGGCTTCTTGATGCCGAAGAGATCTTTCTAGGCTTCCGATCTTACGAGCTGGACATTCCGTTCGCCGGCTAACACCTCCCCCTTTCACTCATATATAAGTGTGTTCGTGATTGCAGCTTGTTACAGAAGGAAGGGAATGGTAGCTTTCCTTGCTGGGAAACTGCATTTGACCAACAGCTCCCTGGAAAGTACCCTGGTATCTGGCTACCGGCACTCATGCATCCTGAGACCATCCAGACGGACCCTCTGCGGAGGCATTCTTCCTATGCTCCCTCTGGCATTAAAGTTGTGAGCAAGCAATTTGACTACTGCATACATTAGTTTGCTCTGGAGGAATCCTTCCTGAGCCTGACAGAAACATGTGAGCCGGAGGCTAAAAAACTGTGAGTCTATCTCACACTAACTCTGCTTAGAGGGAACGCTGCATTCTTCTAGTGTGGTACTAGAACAATAGTGAAGAAACAGGGTGGAATCCCTGGAAAATACCTTATGACAAACTGTGTCTCACCTGTGTGAGCTACCATGTAGGGAAGGCATTAAGAGAAATATTCCAGAGAAATAGAGAAAGAGGAAAATGGGGATTCTGTGTTGCACTTTGGAGTTGGGCCTGGCTTGATGAACAAATCTGGTGTTTTCTTCTATGTATTTGCAGAGCCTTCCGATGATGAGTGGGAAGAGCTGTCCAGTAGTGACGAAAGCGATGCCTTCTTAGAAAATTCCTACGAGGAAGGCGGGAAGTTGATGTCACCTCTTTGCCTTTCTGCTGAGGTCCATACGGCTCTCATGAACCACCTGGTTCCAAAGAAGGTAGACCCCTCCAGAGTCCTGTCCTTCCTAGTTCATCTGGGCCTAAGTCACATGACAGAGTTCAAATAATCACATGACTGCTTCTTTGCACTCCGTGAAGCTTTGGATTAGTTTCTGCAACCACGCTGACCTCGCTGTCCATAGAAAACCACTTTTGTGATATATATGAGCATTTTCTTCTTATTTTTTTAAAAAGAAAAACAAAGTATACCGGGTGGGGCACACAAACCCTGTCCAAAGTAGCCCTTTAACTTGCGGAACTCACTGCCGCAGGATTTCTTGATGGCCACTTGTTTAGATGGCTTTAAAAGGGGATGAGGCAAATTGAGGGAAGAGTGGTCTATTAATGGCTTTTACCTGTGGTAGCTAAATGGAACCTCCCTGTCCAGATGCAGTGTACCTCTGGATACCAGCTGCCAGGGCCAGCTGCTTGGGGGGGGGGGTGAGGGTTTTGGCCTCTGAGCCCCTTCTTCCAGAATATTGAATTGGACGTGTTGTGGGAAACAGGTTCCTAGACTAGGTGACCCAACATCCTAATCCGGCAAGTTATATTCTTTGGATCCCAGTTATCTTGTTATGGATAAAATGTATAATCCATCAGCTTTATTATTTAGACTATGAAGAAGAAGAAGAGATTAGATTTATACCCCACCCTTCACTACCCAAAGGTGTCTCAGAGCGGCTTACAAACTCCTTTCCCTTCCCTTCCCCACAACAGGCACCCTGTGAGGTAGGTGGAGCTGAGAGAGCTCTGACAGAAACTGCTCTTTTTTCAAGAACAGCTCTTATCAGAACTACGGCTTGCCCAAGGTCGTCCAGCCAAGTGCAAGTGGAGGAGTGGGGAATCAAACCCAGTTCTCCCAGATTAGAGTCCATGCACTTAACCACTACACCAAACTGGTGTATCATAGAACCATTTATGTCCTGCATCTAAATTCCATATTTTGTTAGCAGACACTGACATATGCAGCAAGGTCTCTCTGGATGCTGCCGTTCAGAGAAATTTTATGTAACCTTCATCAGGGGTTGTCCCACATACTTTCAGATGTATTAGTTCAGTTATAAGTGGTAGAAAACATGCTCTTTAAAAATTGGGGATTGAGGTTTGGGGGAGTCTGTAATTGGCATTCAAATGCCATGTTCTGGGTTGACTCTAACCAGCTTTTCCACTGGTGGAAATGTGGGTGGTGGTAGTTCTCCTTTGACACTGTCCCCGAAAGGCTATGTTGAGGATTGTGAAACCTGATGTGGGGCAAGCGATATAGTTAGGAGCAGGGCTATTTTGGGGCAGGAACGCACAGGAATGGAGTTCCGGCTGGCTCCCGAGTTGGCCACGCCCAGCAGGAACTCATTAGCATAATAGGCCACACCCAACAGCAGGAACTCATTAGGATTGGCTACATTAGGGGTGTGGCCTAACATGCAAAGGGTTCCTGCTACAAAAAAGCCCTGGGTTTTGACAACAAACAGGGTAAACAGAATAAGGAGCAAAAGGTGGGTGTGGCTGGATGACCACACGTCTGGTAATGTGGGGGTGTGTGGCCTAATAGGCTAATGAGCTGCTCTGTCAGGGGTGTGGCCTAATATGCTAATGCGTTTCTCCTGTTGGGTTTGGCCTATTATGCTAATGAGTTCCTGCTGGGCTTTTTCTACAAAAAAAGCCCTGGTTAGGAGTAAAATTCGGGAGAGATGGAATGAAACAGTTGGCTGGATCTGACCCCCCTCTGTGTTTTCGGGGCCCTTGCAGAATTGCAGGATACGCGCATCCCTGAAAATAGTTCTCTCCATTGACTTCATGATAAAGCCTAACAGCTCTCTTCTTCTTTCCTAGATACTCGGAAAAACAGCTTTCCCCAACAGCGCTGCTGTCGACATCTGTGCACGCAGTCCGGCTTGGAAGCCGCTTATTAAAAAGTAGGAGCTGTTCCCTTTCGTGATGCGTGTAATTTGATTTAAGACTGAACACCCACCCCACCCACCGTCTCTTTCTTGGAGCTTTGGGAAGTATCTATCTGGCTGCCTGCTTGGGTGTGTGAAAACATTGGACTGGATGGATTTTTTTTTGTCCGAACCAGCAATGCAGTCCTGACATTCTCTCATAGATTTAGGTTCTAATACAGTGGAGTAACTCTGCAGAGGATTGCACTGACTTTATGGAGGAGATAGGGATTAGGAACTCCTTTGCATATTAGGCGACACACCCCTAATGTAGCCAATCCTCCAAGAGCTTACAGAGCTCTTCTTACAGGGGCTACTGTAAGCTCTTGGAGGATTGGCTACATTAGGGGTGTGTCGCCCAGGGCTCTTTTTGTAGCAGGAACTCCTTTGCATATTAGGTGACACCCCCCCCCCCCAAAGTAGCCAACCCTCCGAGAGCTTACAGAGCTCTTCTTACAGGGGCTACTGTAAGCTCTTGGAGGATTGGCTACATTAGGGGTGTGTCGCCTAATATGCAAAGGAGTTCCTGCTACAAAAAGAGCCTTGGAGCTTTCCCTTCTACTCACTCCCATCCTTGTGAACTTATCCAACTGTTGTAGTCCTCTTCGTGGGCCCTGCTCTGGAAGTCCCTGGCCTCGGAGGCTAGGTGGGGGGCAACTCAAGACAGGGCCTTCTTGGTCGTGGCATCAGAACTGTGCAATTCCATCCCCTGGAGAGATTCGTCTCCCTCCCCCCCTTTATTATTGTCTTCCGCCAACAGGTGAAGACTTTTCCATTTCCTTTGGCATTCCTTTATTGAACCTCTTTATTGTCTGCTATAATCTGTTGTTTGGTGTAGTGGTTAGGAGTGTGGACTCTAATCTGCGAGAACCCGGTTTGATTCCCCACTCCTCCACATGCGGCTGTTGGTGTGACCTTGGGTCAGTCACAAGTTCTCTCAGTGCTGTTCTCTCAGGGGCAGTTCTCGAGAGAGCTCTCTCAGCCCCACCTACCTCACAGGGTGTCTGTTGTGGGGAGGGGAAGGGGGAAGGGATTGTAAACTGCCCTGAGGCTCCTTTGGGTAGTGAAGGGCGGGGTATAAATCCAATCTCTTCTCTTCTTCTTCTTCCTTTACATATATCTAAAGTGTGTTCAGCCTCTGCCTTGAAAGCTCTCTCTGGGCAGAAAGGCGGCATGTAGATGTTTTAAATAAAAAGGCCGGCGGGGGGTGGAGGTGGTCGGGGATCGAGTGATGTCTAGATCAGGTTTCTTGCTGACTGGCTGTTGAGCGGCCTGCATGTCTTGTGTGTGTTTGCAGTGCAGTCTGTGCTGTTAATTCTGCCCTGTGGTCGGGGGGGGGCTTTGCTAGATATCCTATATCTGCTCTTTTTCCTCCCCCCCCCCCATTTGTATGGCCCTTTTTGTTAGCCGTGGCACTAATCTGATATCTCGATTTATTCCAGGCTGAACATGGTGCAATACAGGGCTCTGACCTGCCTCCACAGCATCTTGTTGGTGTCGGATGTGGATTGTCTCGGCGGCGCTTCGGTCCTCCAGTCACTGGCGCAGCACCTGTCTCAGCTGATTTTCTCCCAGCCAGGTGCGTGCGAGGCCTCAGTGCCTGCTAAATCTGGTTTGCCGAGTCTCCGGTTCTTCCCTTTGTCTTCTGCAGCTGTTGGCTGCATGTTCCTCTGCTGTTCAGATCAGCTCCTGAAAACTTGGACTGTTTGGTCCTTTTGGGCAGGAACGGAGTTCCGGCTGGCTCCCGAGTTGGCCACGCCCAACAGGAGCTCATTAGCATAACAGGCCACACCCAACAGCAGGAACTCATTAGGATTGGCTACATTAGGGGTGTGTGGCCTAACATGCAAAGGAGTTCCTGCTACAAAAAAGCCCTGGGTTTTGACAACAAACAGGGTAAAGAGAATAAGAAGCAAAAGGTGGGTGTGGCTGGATGACCACACTTCTGGTAACATGGGGGTGTGGCCTAATATGCTAATGAGTTTTTGCTGTTGGGTATGGCTTATTATGCTAAGGAGTTTTTGCTGGGCTTTTTCTACAAAAAAATCCCTGGTCCTTATGATATATTGAGCAAGGGTGCGTATGCATGCACACTTTCTTAGGGGAGTGTGATGGTCAGAACTGTGGTCTCGGGCCTTGACCTGGATAGCCCAGGCAAACTCGATCTCATCAGATCTCGGAAGCTAAGCAGGGTCAGCCCTGGTTAGTACTTGGATGGGAGACCTCCAAGGAGTACCAGCAGTCGAGAGGAGGGGGCAGGTTTTACTCAGCTACCTCTCTGAGTATCCTCCAGGCCCCCAGTAGGAGTCAGTCACATAAGAACATAAGAGAAGCCAATGTTGGATCAGGCCAATGGCCCATCCTTTCCCAACACTCTGTCACACAGTGGCCAAAAATACCAGGTGCCATCAGAAGAAGAAGAGATTGGACTTATACCCCGCCCTTCACTACCCAAAGGAGTCTCAGAGTGGCTTACAAACTCCTTTCCTTTCCCTTCCCTTCCCCTCCCCACAACAGACACCCTGTGAGGTAGATGGAGCTGAGAGAGCTCTGTCAGAAACTGCTGGCCAGGACACTAGAAGCCCTCCCACTGTTGCCCCCCCGAAGCACATAGAATACAGAGCATCCCTTGCCCCAGACTGAGAGTCCCTATCTATACCTTGTGGCTAATAACCACTGATGGACCTCTGCTCCATATGTTTATCCAGTTCCCTCTTCAAGCCGTCCACGCTTGTAGCTGCTGCCACCTCCTGTGGCAGTGAATTCCATGACTCACCAGAGGTCGCCATGACTTCCAGGTGCATACATGTGCATGCACATGCACGCACACACAGGTTCATTCCCCAGCATCGCCAGTTGAAAGGCTCTGACAGTTGATATAAGAGTCCTCTGCCTGAGACCCTGGAGAGCTGCTGCCCATCTGGGTAGACAGTACTGATGATGGACCAATAGTCAAAGGCAGCTTCCTGCCGGAAGGTCACAGATGGATTGTTCCTGGCAGGTGGGACCATCAGGAAAGTCATGTCATAAGAACATAAGAGACGCCAATGTTGGATCAGGCCAAAGGCCCATCCAGTCCAATACTCTGTGTCACACAGTGGCCAGAAATACCAGTGCCATCAGGAGGTCCACCAGTGGGGCCAGGCAGGGGTCGTTTCATAGAAAAAGAGCTAGGGGAACTCATTAGCATAACTCATTAGCATATGCCACACCCCCTGACATCACCGGAAGTGTGTCATAAGGCCACACCCCCTGACATCACCGGAAGTGTGTCATAAGGCCACACCCCCCGCCCCCAACGGTCCCGGCCGGCGGGAGTGCAAGGAAGCCCCGCGAAGGCCCTCCCTGGCCCCAGGCAGGCAGGGGTGGGGAGAGGCAGGGAGGAAGCAACTTACCCTCCCTCTTATCCTGCCTCCTCTTGGCTGAATGAGGGCCAGAAGCGGGGTGGCCGGAAGCAGGGTGCGGGGCTTCATCATGTGCCCCGCCCCCTGTACCTCATCCGGGGGAACTGCGATGCCCCGCATTCCCCCCCCGAAATGATCTCTGGGGCCAGGACATTAGAAGCCCTCCCACTGTTGACCCCCCAAGCACCAAGAAGACAGAGCATCACTTGCCCCAGAGTCCCTATCTTTACCTTGTGGCTAATAGCCACTGATGGACCTCTGCTCCATATGCTTATCTAATTCCCTTTTGAAGCCGTCCATGCTTGGAGCCGCCAAATGTCAAAGAAATTTGCTGGTGAGCAGAGGAAATGGGGGTCTAGAAGAAACACCAAATGTCCAAAGTTACTATTAGCAGCCCAAAGGTCACAGAGGGATAATCCACGGTGGGTGAAGCTGCAGAAGGTGATGTGGGTGGAGCCATTCACAAAATGGCTGCTGCAGGAGGCAGAGCCAACCACAAAATGTCAGTTGAGGTTACGTATAACTCTTAACAGTAACTCTTCAACATTTCAGGTAGAAGCTCGGTTTAACAGGATGCTTTAATGCCTTTTCATCTGCACAGCCACTGAGAAGCTGTGCTGGGCAAAAAACCCCACCTAGCCCCGCCCACTTTCTAAAAGCACTTGGCGGGCATCGTGCTGCCCGTGGGCACCCTGTTGAGGACCCCTGGCTTATGTCCTTAAAGTTTACCATACATGGTAAATACAACAACAGAATGTCTGTAAATACGGGGAAAGTGAGTGTTTTTTTTAAATAGAGTGATTGGTGGGATGTAGGATACAAAAGGTTGAAAACGATCACTGTAGGCAGCCGGGGTGGTGGTTTTGGGTGGTCTGTGGTTGGCGGAAGAGAGTGCCCTGAGAGCGGGCATTGAAATGTACACCTTTGAAATATGCCCTTCCACATACTTACAAATTGTGTATCTTTGCAAAAAAAATAAAAATAAAATATATTTTGGCCCTGGTCACACGGGCAGGAAAATGTGGGGGGAAGCGTGGCTGTTTGCCCTGGAGCAAAATAACGCGCGGCTGCGCGATCAGATGTCCCGTCGAGGTCCCGTGATGGGGGGGGGTGCCGATCACAGGACAATCCTGCGGCGTGGCAAAGAAGCGGCCTCCCTAGCAAAAGGCTCCATGGGATTAACCCCTTCCAGGGCTGCAGAGGAATGCAAACTGTGTCCTCAGTCTGGTCCCCTCCAGGAGGAGCTTCAGCCGGGCCACCCTCCCGCCACGCCCCCCCTGCACCTCCCCCTCTGCCGCCCGGTGCAGAGAGTTCCTCTCGAGCAGGCCGAGCCAGGAGTAGGGGGGAGTACAGAAAAGAGGAGGGGGCTGTGTTGTTTGGTTTTTAAACGCTGTTGGGTGCTTGTGCGCATCCCGTGGAGACTTGTGGAAAAAAACACCTTTTAGCAACAGGACATGGGCGGGCGCCGGATGCCACGACCTACCACTGGAAACGCGATCAGGCACCCGCCCTTGCCCTGCTGTTTCCGGAAACTAGTACCTCGGAGGTACTAGTTTTTTACCCCGCATCTTCGGCGGGAAGCCTCGGGTTCGCCACGGGAGCTCTACGCTTCCCAGATGTGGCGCTGTGGTCGCGCCCGGAAAATCTGCCTATCTTCTGTCTCTGTAGCGTGGCTAATGCTCCGTGTGACCACAGCCATAGATATAGATATAATGAAGGAGATGGGGGGTTTAGAATCCCTGGCTCCCGGTACAGTTCGCCTGCTTCCCTGGACATTGTGCCTTTTGCGTTGTGGTTTTTGTTTTGAGGCTCATGTGGCTTTTTACTTTTTTGGGGGCAGAGTTTTCGAAGCAAACGGAATTTCTGGAAGCCGTCACCAGCGCTTTGCGGGCTCTCTTGCAAATGATGGCATCCAATAATATATCTCAGGTGAGATGGGTCTCCTGATTTGTTTCAAACGTGCTCGGTTATCGTGGTGCTAAAATTAGGCATGCTTGCGTTACTGCAAAAATCCTCCAAACTTGGAGTCTGAACAGCACGGTTTCTGGAAGGGGGGTTGCGTGCTGTGGTTGCGGAGAGAAGAAGGGCAGTACTTTCTCCCCCCCCCCGCCCCACCTGTAGAGAGAGACTGAATGAGAAGAGGGTCTACTATTACCTTTTAATGGCAGAAATTATACAGTCAAGCCCAAAGTAAACAACTCTTCTGGTTCTCTCTGAGAAGCAGCTTTATATCAGAATTTTTGTAAATTGTTGTGATGTTTCAACAGCTGGTTAAAACTCTGAAGCCTCCCATATCTGTCCATCCGTATAGGGATGCCAGCCTCCAGGTGGGACCTGGAGGTCTCCTAGAATTACAGCTCATTTCTAGACTACAGAGATCAGTTCCTGTGGAGAAAATGGATGCTTTGGAGGGTGGAGTCCATGGCATTGTACCCAGGGGTCATTTCGTAGGAAAAGAGGTGCAGGAGCTCATTAGCACAACTCATTAGCGTAACTCATTTGCATATGCCACCCCCCCTGACATCACCGGAAGTGTGTCAGAAGGCAACCCCCACCGCTCAGGCTCCACTGGACTGTTTTGGATTGCTAGCTATTGGGGGGGGGATGTGTAGATCTCGCAGAGGAGGGAGAAAGGCGGGGGGGGGGCTCTGTAGGCCTTTCCCGGACCATCTGCCAAGGCCGGTGAGCCGGGAAAGGTGGGTGGGGAGGCTGTATAGGCTATTCCCGGGCCATCCACTGAGGTGGGCGAGCTGGGAAAGGCAGTGGGGGCCTCCGGAGGCCTTCCCCGGGCCCTGCGCCTCGGCGTGGGCCAGGGAAGGCAGGCCGGGTGGGGGGGCCTCTGCAGTTTACCTGGCTGCTTCTTGCTCTGACTGAGGGCTGCTGGGAGCAGGGGGCGGGGCTTGTTGCATGTCCCCGCCCCCTGGGCTCTTTACTGCCGGAGCTCCGCTCCTGTGCGCTCCTGCAGGAAATGACCCCTGATTATACCCCACTGAGGCCCCTGTCCTCCCTAGGCTCATATCTCCAGGAGTTTCCCAGCCTGGATCTGGCGATCCCTACCACCTCATCCCTCGCAAGTGGCTCTGGGGACCCCACTTCTGGCACCCCATCACACCAAAGACGGACTGAAAAACAGGACCTAGAGCTGGGCTTTTCACACTGGAGTATTAATGTAGAATGGGGAATGGATTTATGCCCCCTCCTGTGATTCCAGGAGCAGAAAAGAGCAAGAGTCCAGCAGCACCTTAAAGGCTTAACACAATTTGGGGCAGGGGAGGAGCCGTTCCTGAGTCACTGCCCACTTCTTCAGATGGACTCACGAGAGCTCCTCCCCCTGCCACTAAATCTTGCTAGTCTTTGAGGAGCCGCTGGACTCTTGCTCTTTTCTGCTGCTGCAGACAGACAAACACGGCTACCCATCTTGGACTTTCTCCAACGTAACTGCTTTGGGGCATGCCTGATGGGGTTTTCCGGGTCAGTAAGGATGCCAGCAGCTGGAATACGGCAGGTGGTGGTGGGAGTTTGACCATGTGCCGCTGAACACAGGCAGGATACGTTTAACTCGGGCACTGTTCCTCGTCACCAACAGAGAGGGCGTCTGAGATGAGAGGTAGGACACGTTGTCCCCTTAAAACTGAATCCCATTAAAAACTGAAACCAAAAATCTCTTAGCTTTAATGTGTGCGTTTCCCCCCCACCTTCCTTCTGTTAAACAAAAGGGAGCATTTTATTCGTTGTGGGGTTTGTGTGTTTAAACAGTGCACCACTCCTGAGCAACTGATGACTCTGTGCGAAGCTGGTATTCAGAGCGACAACGTCGGCGTTCGGGTCAACGTCGTCAGCATTCTGGGCATTGCTGGCAGTGTGCTGTCGAAACTGGAAGACACCGTGGAAACACTAAAGGTAAAGGCATTAATGCTACCAGGTGGGGTATCCCTCCTCCCTTGATGCTGTGGCCCAAAATGGTTTACTTTTTTTGGGGGGGGGGGGAATGTACTTCCTTGTCGTTTCAGATGATTGGGAAATTCCTCCTTGAAGTTGCAACGAAAGACCTTTCTCTGGTGGTTGCGGGAGAAGCGCTGGATGCCCTTTTTGACGTCTTTGCCGACGGGAAAGAAGCGGAGAGGGCGGCGGAGCAAATTAAACTGCTTTCGGCACTTAAGGAATTCCAGCCGGTTTTCAGATTGCGAGTAAGCATGCCGTATTGTGGCGGGAGGGAGACAGCATGGCGCTACTGATCTGGTACCTGACACAGTTACACCACACTGATTGTGTAATTTCACTTCCTGGCAATCGCATCCCATGCTCCTATTTGGTTTCCTTAAAAAAAAATATCAGTTTTTATTTATTTTATTTTGTTTAAAGAATGACATGTTGCTAGCCCTCATGGGTGCTGAAACAATGAGGAATTTCAGACAGGCGATATATTCCGGAAGAGGAACGGTTCCCAAACGGTTTCTGGTCTGTCATTTCAGACAGAACCGTTTGAGAACCGGTTCCCTTCGGGTATATATTTGTCATTTCATACACAATCGCGTTTTACCTGTCAGCCACTTCCAAGTACTCCTCAGTTTCCTCTCCCGGTTCCGATGCACTTTTTCCCGCTGTTTTTCGCCCGCGTGGGCGATCTCCGGCTTTAAAAAAAAAGTTTGCTTTATAGCGTTATAGCGCTATAGCGCTATAACGGAATAACATTATATCAATCCCATTGGAATGCATGGAGTGTTTTGTTATACTGCTATAGCGCTATAGCACTCTAAAGCGAACGTTAAAAAAAAAAGCCGGAGATCGCCCATACGGGTGAAAAATGGCGGGGGGAAAGCGGGAAAAAGCGGTGCAGTCTGAAATGGCAAACCGCTTCAGATCCAGCTTTTTACCGGAAGGGGAAAGCCATGTGTGAAATGGCAGCCCTATACCAGTTCACTTCAAAACGGATCATTACCGGCTTGAAACCGGGTGAAACTGGGTAATGTGAAATTCCCCAATGTTTGAGTGGTGGAGGTGGGCAACAGTTATGAGGATGAGAGAGATGTTAGAGCTCTTTCCCCTTGACTTTTTCATACATTGCTGTCTATATTTGTAGCCCTCAGACTTCCGCACCTATTCTTTCTGTCTATCCATCCATTAAATTTTTGTCCCACCTTTTCTCCAGTTTGGTGTAGTGTTTAGGAGTGCAGACTCTAATCTGGGAGAACCAGGGTTGATTCCCCACACCTCCACATGCAGCTGCTGGTGTGACCTTGGGTCAGTCACAAGTTCTTTCGGAGCTGTTCTCTCAAGGGCAGTCCCCGAAAGAGCTCTCTCAGCCCCACCTACCTCATCGGCAATGTTCCCTCTAAGCCGTGGTGCCTTGTGAGCAAAAATTCTACTTCGTGAGCTGCTGGCATTAAAGTTGTGAGCGAGTGATTTGGCTACTGCATAAATGAGTTGGCTCTGGAGCCGTCCTTCCTGAGCGGAGACAAAAATGTGTGAGCCAGAGGCCAAAAAACTGTGAGCTAGCTCACACTAACTCAGCTTAGAGGGAACACTGCTCACCGGGTGTCTGTTGTGAGGAGGGGAAGGGAAAGGAGATCGTAAGCCACTCAAGTAGTGAAGGGTGGGGTATAAATCCAATCCCTTCTTCTTCTTTTACCTCACCGGGTGACTGTTGTGGGGAGGGGAAGGGAAAGGAGATCGTAAGCCACTCTGAGACTCCTTCAAGTAGTGAAGGGCGGGGTATAAATCCCATCTCTTCTTCTTCTCTCCAGTGAGTTCAGACCACTGTATATGGTTCTATCCTTCCTCCGTTATTTTCTCCTCACAACACCCTTGTGAAGGAGGGTGGGCTGCGGGTTTCTGGCCCAAGTTCAGCCAGCAGGCGTCAGGACCGATTGGGGTTTTTACCCAGGCGTCCCTGTTTCTGGTTTGGCATTTCAGCTGCTGACCCGTACTGATCCTCTCTGCTGCCGATTCTTCATCAGCATCATGTGAAACTAAGGTTGCCAACTCTGGGTTGGGAAATTCCTGGAGATGTGGGGGTGGAGCCTCGGGAAGGCGGGTTTTGGGGAAGGGAGGGACCTCAGCCAGGGTACGACAGCAGAGTGCACTTTCCAAAAATGCCGTTTTCTCCAGAAGGATCTGATCTCTGTACTCTGAGGATCTGTTGTCATTCCGAGAGATCTCCAGGCCGCACAAGGAGGCTGGCGACCATGTGTGAAACCCGTTCCTTCCTTCCTTCCGCCTTGTTTTCTTGTTAGGAGAGATTACAGTGATTTGACTTGTTTAGGTGACTCTGCCACGGGAAAGCAGTATTTTTTAAAAAAAATATTTACTTCATCTGTCCCCCACTTTTCTCCCCACTGGGGACCCCAAACTGGCTTATATTGTTCTTCTCTCCTCTATTTTATCTTCACAACAACCTGGTGAGGTAGGTTAGGCTCAGAGAGAGTGACTGGCCCCTGGTCTCCCAGCAAAGATTCCATGGCGGAGTGGGGATCCAAGCCTAGCGCCTGCCGCGTCCTAGTCGGAGCACAGTGTGTTCGTTAAATGTAATTGGTTTGCTTGCTCAGACAAGAGCCTGAAGAATCTGGCTTTTGGGGCTGTCTGGTTCTTGCGGTTTGGGGTTCGTCTGAAACACAATTGCCAAGGTGTACCTGCCACCCCCAGGGAACGAGTCGCTCTGGAACACAAGGAATGATCTAGTCTGCCATCGTGGCAGAATTGCTATCTGGTTGGCGGGCTCTAATTTACTGGAATAAGTTCTCCAAAGACTGGAGAAGTAAAGGGCCAGTTTGTACAAGCGCTTCCACCACTTTGGTGCAGTTTTCTAGTTTGTGGTTGCAGATCCAACACCACTGACATCACCTCAAGCCCAATTAGCAATACTTTTCAGTGGAATAATATTCCTCCCTTCTCAAATTCAGTACTTTGTGTGCATTCATACTTCTGTTCAGCTTGCAGGCCACCAGCGGTGATCCTCAAAGGAGGTCAAAGTGGTGTACATCAGTGTTCCCTCTAAGCTATGGTCTCGTGAGCAAAAATTCTACTTTGTGAGCTACTGGCACTAAAGCTGTGAGCAAGTGATTTGGCTGCTGCATAAATTAGTTTGCTCTGGAGCCCTCCTTCCTGAGCTGAGACAGAAATGTGTGAGCCAGGGGCTAAAAAACTGTGAGCTAGCTCACACCAACTCAGCTTAGAGGGAACACTGGTGTACATGGATTCCCCATTTCTTATTTTATCCTCATAGCAACTGTGAGATAGATGAACTTGGGTGGACGTGGGGATTGAAACCTGACCTTCCTTCTTGAAGTCCAGCACTGTCACTCCCATAGCACACTGCCGCCCCTTGTGCATTTTAGGAGAGAATATTTACTGGAAATCGCCTTCTTTGGTTCCACTGGGGATCCAGGGTAGTCTTTTATCTAGGATGGGCTGGTATTTGTGGTTTTGATTCATTCAATCATGTTTTAATTGATAGTCTGTATTTGCAGAGCATCACCCTGTTTAAACTTGTGGTCCTCTAATTTACCTGGTTGGGGGGAGGGGAGAAGCTTGTTACTTGGTCAGGTGACATATGTGTTTGGATTTTAAAGGACTGCATATTTTTTAAGGGACTGCGGAAGACAGGAAGGCCTGGCGGGATCTGGTCCATGGGGTCGCGAAGAGTCGGACTCGACTGTGCGACTGAACAACAACATATTACGTTTATCAGATGGTTTAGACAGCATCTTGACTTGCAAACTGAAGAATGTCATTAAAAATAAACATTTATAACTTCCTTTTCAATTGCAGATGCGGAAAGAAGGGAAAGGACAGTACAGCACTGACCAGTTGTGTGTGCTGGACAACGTGAAGCTGAATTTAAGAAGATTTATTGCCTATCTAGAGAATCTGGAGAGGAAATAGTAACATAGAATTCTATTTAGAGAAACTCTGTAAAGCTATATTTTTATTATTGTTTGTTAAATACTGTAGTTTGAAGCGTAGCAACTTGTAGTAGCTGGGAGGGAAAAGAGTTTGCTTTTGATGTTGCATTTTTTAGAATTATTTCGGGGAAGGAGGTTGATGCAATAATAAATTGAGATTCGGAGTATGCAGTTGCCACATCATTTGATGAAATGTTAGCGTCTGCCAGAATGTGGCCTTAAATCAGGTCTAGAAGAACCTCCTGCATTGCAACCTTTTGGTTTCTTAAAGAGTCAGAATCAAACTCTCTAGGACTGTTTTGCCTGGAATAAAATCAGTATGAGTTCCCTGGATGTCAGCACTTCTATTTCTAAGTGACCGGGTGCTTAGGATTTTTCCAGTTCTGTTTTTGAAGTCCTGGGGTAGATACAAAGTTCTCAGTCTACTAATTGTGGTTAGCAAACTGGGATAATCTCAAACACTCATGTACTCCTCCCTACTTACCCCTTCCCTTTTCAGAGGTAATCAGGCTGCAGTTAAGGTCCGTTTGATGCTAGCATTAGCCATGGTTAACTCACACCAGAGTTTGCAGTGATGGTCAGAACGGAGTTTGCTGACTCTGGTTTAGCCTAACCATAGTTAATGTCAATAGAGCACTATACCATGACTCGCTTCAAAAAGGAAAGGTACACTCCTAGTTTCCCAACCGTGGTTAGAATCTATTAATAAAATCCATCGATTTCCAGCTAATACAGGTGTATTCCTCCTGATGGCACCTGGTATTTTTGGCCACTGTGTGACAGAGTGTTGGACTAGATGGGCCTTTGGCCTGATCCAACATTGGCGTCTCTTATGTTCTTATTAATATATCTGTATTGCCTAGAAGTATGTGGGTTTGATCATTAAGAACATAAGAGAAGCCAATGTTGGGTCAGGCCAATGGCCCATCCAGTCCAGCACTCTGTCACACAGTGGCCAAAAATACCAGGGGCCATCAGGTCCACCAGTGGGACCAGAACAGTAGAAACCCTCCCCTTGTTGCCCCCCATCCCAAGCATCAAGAATACAGAACATCACTCGCCCCCTTGTGTTCTGGTACGGCAGTCTGTAAGGAAGAAATCTGAAATGCTTAATTATTCATACAGGATCCTCTGTTCCTTGTCTTCTAGACACAAAGAGCTACAGGATTATACAGTCTTTAAGGGTTCAATATATAGCAGAGTTTCTGTACAGGATGACAGCATAATCATTAATACTTACCTCTGTTTACCTTTTGCAATATGAACTGTTTCCATACTGCCTTCAAATTGGCATTTTAGAATAATTCACTAAAGTCAAGCATGATACTTTGTCTACTTCTTTTTCAACTGGGATGGATTTTAAAAAGAACGACTGTTTGACCTTTTTGCCCAGTAGAATGTACAGTCTGCTGGAGTCTGAAATGGAAGATCATGGAAGTCACGTCAAATGCATAACTATTTTTGTACTAAAATGTAGGTATAAAGGTTTTTTTAAAAATAGATACTTTTTAAAATTAAAATGCACATAATGGGAATTGTGAGGATGTTGGACGAAGATTATATAATGTGAAAGCCAGCAATTTAAAATGCTTTTCCACAAGAATCCTTGGCAGGAAAGATGGCTTCTTGTATATATGAAGAACCTTTTAACATAGTAATGCTTAATTTGGAAACCATTGGAATCGTTTTAAAAACATGACATGATGTGACATAGGAATAAGTGTGTCCTTTGGAATGTTTGGTAATGATGTTTTTTATCTGGCATTTCAAATCGAGCTCATTTGAAGAGTCGCTATACGCATTAACGTGTGTCCTGTGAATCTGTTCATTTTTGTATGCCACGTTCTTGTTTGTATAAATGTTTTTCTGCACAATTTGTTAGTGGCTGAGTTATCCATGGATCTCTTTTTTAAAAAATATTTTATTTTTATACTGTTTTACAATGCACATAGCTCGATAACACATAACCATAACAGGGAGATATAGATTACAGCAAGAAAATAATTGGAAACATTGGAAGAGTGCAATTTATAAATATAACATGACAGTCCCGGCTATTAACTATTCTTGCTATGTTAACTCTATGTTAGTACATTACTCTGTGGTTACTTTGGTGGACCTCATGAGCCTTAGTGCGCCATGTTGAGGTTTAGTGTGATAGAGACCGAACGTTTCTGATATGCTAATTTGAGGATTGGGGTTTGTGGCATTTTACAGGAACAACCACCTGTGATAACTGGGGTTTGAGGGAAGTATTTCGTGCTCTGTCATATATTTTATAACTGGTGCCCATAGCCTTGAGAACTTCGCGTGTGGTGTAATATTTGACGGCAGAGACCTTTGGCTTAAATCTGCTATTTTGACCATGACAATCTGTTCCCAAAGCTTGTCATGCCATACCGTAAGCGTTGGTGCGGTGGGAGATTTCCAAGCGGCGGCTATTGTTACCCTGGCCGTTGCCAGTAATATTGACGTAAGGACCCTCGCTTCGACCTTGACGGAATCGTCCCATATATTTAACAACATGATTTCTGGTGTGCAGGATATTCTTTGCGAGGTGATCTCATTAACACAAAGCTGTACCTCGTTCCAGAATTGATGTATCTCCGGGCAAATCTACCAGGAGTGGAGGTATGACCCAGCCTGCCCGCATCTCTTCCAACATGTTGAGTCATTACTGCTGTTGATTTTGTTCAGTTGTGTGGGAGTCATATACCATCTTGTGAGCAATTTAAAGTTCTGTAATCGCAGGTTGAATCTCTTAATGGGTGTCTTCCCTGTGTTGTAGGTATTTGATCTATGTATGTGTATATTTTCCTTTTTTTCCCCACCCCCTGTGTCGCAACGGGCCTGTGTTGTATGTGATTTTTGGCCTTCCAAGTCTAAAAATCTGTCAAGATGCTTCCTTCTGCTCTATTAATGCTGAGAGTAACAAGATATTTATACCCCACCCCCCAAAGAGTGAGTGAGTCTGCCTCTAAACAAATTACATTGCTGACATTTCATGCAGCATTCCAGAAATGAGAGATTTGGTGTTCTGGTTACCATCTGGCAGGGATGTAACAGGAGTTCCCATAAATTCATGGGGAAGTAACTGCACCTCTTTGGATATGATAATCGCATCCCCTTGGCCACATTCCTGGTTTCACAAGTACATCCTCTTGGCAGTTCTCTATTAGAGGTGCTCTACATATTTTGCATGGGCGGAAATCATATGGTCCTCATCCATTAATGAGCGGTTGGCTGTTCAGCATTGCGGCCTTTGTTTTCCCATGTCCCTTGATCCTTTTGAATTATAAATTTATATTTTTGGGGGGGTCACGTGTAGAAGCAGTGCCCAACAAGAATGTCACCCAGAAACGTATGAGACAGTGTATGAATTCCAGGTAGAACTTTTCCCTCTAAACACCTACCCATCTTTTAATTGTTTTAGAGGTTTGTCAAGAAACAAGGAAATTTCAGGGTATCTGTGGAGGCATGGAGCTCCCGCCTCCTCGTTTTGCCAAAGCGGGTGTCACTTTCATGTTGCTAAATAGAAACAAACAAAAAAAAAGTTGACAATATCTGCTGCTGCTAATTGTCTCTATTGTTATGGTGGGAGGTGCTGCATGGTTTTGAAGAAAAGCCAAGTGTCGACATGGTAAAAATGTTTTGTCACAATCTGTTCAAAGCTATTTTGATCCTGTGTGCAGAGATGGAAAATCTGTTTTGATGCTTTTGATGAAAAAAAGGGAATGCGGGCTTCATTTATCTGATGGGATTCGAGCAACTTTAATGAAAAGTTCTTCCCTTTGCCAATTAACTTAGTTCTCATGTTTATTTCTCGAGAGCCTTTTGCATTGTGTGGGCAAAGGAGAGGCTCTTTCAGTCAACCGGCAGTCTAGGTCTCACTGATATAAAGAATAATGGAATGTTGAAATTGCTAATCGGCTGTCTACAGCCACGTAATAAGTCAGGTCTGTATCAGAAGGAATGCCACAGCTTGTAAACAAATTGATCCTTGTAGTAGCTATCCTGGAATTCATCCTTAGCTGTATGTCCAAATTCCTATTTATTCTATAATAACTACTGCTAGGTTGTATACATTAGCTGGTTGTTTTTAACCCAATTTCCCCCCCTCCAGTTCTCCAAGTAAACATAGGGAACTGTAGAGAACAGCCAAAACGTGTACTTGTAGCCGGTCATCTTTTCTCCAGTCTTGGAGAACCGCTGATTGCCTTCTGGGACGCCATCCAAGAATTAATTTGTGAAAAGCCATTTCTTTGGAGGGCAATTCATCGCAAATGTACTATTAAATGGAAAGGACTTTGAATGACACCAGGATGTGGTACACATGCATGAAATGAGATAACATGATCTGTACGTGCAGGAGTTGTTGGTTTGCAATGGCCTTTATGTTGACTCTTGGAACTTTGCGGCCGTTTGACGTGATGATTGAGACACTTTCTGGAAGTTTCACAGGACTCTATTCTGTGTTCCCTTTTATTCTGTGTGCATGTGTATATATGTAGGGGGGAGGGCTTCTTACAGATACAGGGGTGGAAAATGGTCAGTAAAGTCAGTATTTCTTTGATTTTTGTGAATGCAGTTTGTGTTTTTCCGTTTTCATAGCTGCTTTTTTGGGAAAACATGATGACTTCCTAGTGAGAAGACAGATTGTTTTCAGTCTAGTTATGAAGTACTTTAAGGACTTTGTTCCTGAGAGTAAAAGTGATTTGGTGACATTTTCCACAAAGTATAGAAACACGATTAACCTCTGGAAACATGAGACAATGAAAGTAGAGGTGATGGAAGAAGAGGACAACATGATCCGTACGTGCAGGAGTTGTTGGTTTGCAATGGCTTTTATGTTGACTCTTGGAACTTTGCGGCTGTCTGACGTGATGATTGAGACAATTTCTGGAAGTTTCACAGGACTCTATTCTATGTTCCCTTTTATTCTGTGTGCATATGTATATATGTAGGGGGGAGGGCTTCTTACAGATACAGGGGTGGAAAATGGTCAGTAAAAGTCAGTTTTTTCATCTTGGTCAGTAATTTGTCAGTTTTTTTAAAAAATGGTCAGTAAAGTCAGTATTTCTTTGATTTTTGTGAATGCAGTTTGTGTTTTTCCATTTTCATAGCTGCTTTTTTGGGGAAACATGATGACGTCCTAGTGAGAAGACAGATTGTTTTCAGTCTAGTTATGAAGTACTTTAAGGACTTTGTTCCTAGGAGTAAAAGTGATTTGGTGACATTTTCCACAAAGTATAGAAACACGATTAACCTTTTGAAACATGAGACAATGAGAGTAGAGGTGATGGAAGAAGAGGACAAGGGGGGGAAATGCTTGTGGATGCAGTGCAGAAAACTGTTGAGAAACTAAAGAGTTTGTGAATAACTATTTATTTATTTATTCAATTTATACCCCACCCTCCCTGCCAGAGCAGGCTCAGAGCGGCTTACAAAGAGATTAAACATATAGGTAACAAATTATATACAAACTTAAAACAAATAATAAAACTCTACATTATCATAAAGTGCTAGTAAGTGATCAGGTACTTATAACAATGCTTACAGAAGGCGGAACCAATGCTAGTGTTGTAATCAGATGATCTATATTGGTGGTTGGCTCGCTTTGGTCTCTATATTTAGGCAACAGCACAGGCTGTTGGTGGTAAGCCAAGGACCAGGGCACTGTCACTTCTCAGTTATTTGGTGCGGCTCCTTAGTCAAAGGCCT